AATTTGTTGGAAAAAAAACTGTTTTGCTTTTTTCTTTCTTTTTTTTAAGTTAACATTTATTGAAAGACAGTTGAGTAGGGACTTGACTTGCAGGTAAAAATGCTTTCCACTTATTTTTTATTGGTTAAATCTTTATTTTGGTCTCTGAACTATTGTACGGACCCTCGATTGGATTCTTGAACTAAAGAAATTTTTGATTTAGTCCTTAAACTATTGTATGGACCCTTGATTTGGTTCCCACTGTTTATAATTTGGCCTAACTTGGTCCTTAAATTATTGTACGGACCCCTAATTTGGTCCTTATTGTTTACAAATTTGCTCCAATTTGGTCTCTGAGCTATTATTTAACAGAATGACCAAGTTGGGGTTAAATTGGTAAACAGTATGGACCAAATTAGGTATCCATACAATAGTTTAGGGACTAACTTAGGAGTTCGTATAATAGTTCAAGGACCAAATTAAGGATTTCTTTAGTTTAGAGACCAAATCGAGGGTCCGTATAATAGTTTAGGGACCAAAATAAGGGTTTAACCTTTTTTATTTTGAAAAAACATAACCATCATTGCAATTATACGAGGGAAAATACAAAAATTAAAAAAAAATTTTTTTTTTTTTTTAACAAAATGTTAAGGGTAAGATTTAAACTTCAAACTCACCAAACAAAAAAGAGGATTGCACCTTAAAAAATGATCCAAGACCATTTGACTCGAAAGTCCAGGTCCAGAAAAAAACCTGTTTTACTGTCTGAAGATAATGCACATTTAATTTTTTTGGGTAAACTATACAAATGGTGATTGACCTTTATTTTTAAGTTCACATCTAGTGGAAGAAAGTTGAGCGGGGGGACTTGACTTGCATATCAAAATGTGTTCCACTTACTTTTTATTTTGAAAAAATGTAATTACCATTGCAGTCATACGAGGGAATATAAAATTTTTTTAAAAAAAACAGAAAAAAAAAACCTGCTTTGTTGTCTGAAGATAATGCACATTTAATTTTTTTGGGTAAACTATACAAATGGTGATTGACCTTTATCATAACCACATCTATTGAGGTTATTAATGAATTTGTAGAAAGATTAAAGACCTAATAAGAAATATACTATATATTGACTCTTTGCATTAGTAATAAAACAACTAAATTATGTAGCTTCAAGTTTAATCATATACCAGTAAGGATTGGGATTAAATCATATTTTTTTTATTGGCCTATTTAAGTAATCATGCATGTAACTTTTATTTTTTTATCTTTTTTTTATAAGTTGTTTTTTATAATTTAATGAAATTCATATTTTACAAATCAAATTGTGTCTATTAAAATTATTAAAATATATTTAATAAAACTATTTCATACTCTCTTTGTTTATTAAAATAGCTTTAATGAAATTAATCATCAAATTTTTACTTGGCCCAACCCCTCTTATCACCTCACCTAACGGCATTTGAGGAGATAATCTAATGGCATTTGGGGAGATAACGTGAACTGGTTAATAGGGTATGTTAAAACAAAAGGAAGTAATTATATTTACAAATTTAAAAGAAGAGTGACTAAATTGAAAATTGTGATAAAGATTAGTGACCATTTGTATAGTTTACCCTTAACTTTTAAGACAAACATGAATTTTTCATAAATTTTTTTAAAAAGGAAAACTTTATTGAATTAATTCAATAATTAGATAAAAAAAAATTTCAAGGTTAAACTCATAAAAATACTAAAAATTTAACAAATTTTAGTAATTAAAAATTAAAAATTAAAAATTTTTAAATTTAAATTTTAAAATAAACTATCTTACCTCATGTAATATAAGGAAAACATAACAAAAGATATGAAAGTTAGGACAGAAGGAATTCGATGTGATTTTTTTTTTTTTTTTTGAAATTGAGGGAAATTAGGGCAATTGAATAATGCAAAATGGAGAAACAAGAAAGTTGAGTTTAGATTGTGTAAATAGAGCATCCACACGACTATCACATAATTCAGGCAAGCCACGAGTGGATTCTTTCGATGTGAGT